CTCTTCAACTGCAACCAGATGGCTGAAGAAGTTGGGATTCAAGTATAAGGAATATCGAAAGGGAATATACAACAATGGCCATGAAAGGCCTGATGTTTGCAAGTATAGAGATGAAGTTTTCCTTCCTTGCATGGCCACCTATGATTCCCAATTCATGAAATGGAATGCAGATTTAGATATTATCCCAAATCCTGCCCATGAATCCAGTGAGATACAACCTCTTATTCTTGTCATGCAGGATGAATGCACCTTTAATTCAAATGATAGTCGACACTACATTTGGGTGCATGAGGAGCATAAACCATTGAGAAAAAAGGGACATGGTCAAGGCCTACATGTTTCTGATTTTCTTACTCTGATTGGACGACTTGGGGACGGTGATACATGTGTTACGATGCAATGTGGTGGTGATACTTAGTGGAATGGAGACAGATTACTCAAACAAATTGTGGATAAGGTAATACCAACTTTTGAAGCACAGTTTCCTGGATGCAAGGCACTCTTTGCCTTTGACAATGCACGCAACCATCTCAAATATGCCACTGATGCATTGCGAGTTTCTGAGATGAATCTAGAACCTGGTGGAAAGAATGTGAAGGTAATGCACAATACCTTTGTTATAGATCCTAACCATCCCAATGGGGGCTTTATGCAGTCTATGACTTTTGCGGATGGTAGACCTAAAGGTCTTAAGAGAGTTCTGACTGAGCGTGGTCTCTGGCCACAGGATGGACAAAGGATTCTGGTACAATGTTCTACTCGGTCCACTACTGGTAAGAGCATGAAGCCAAATCCACGCTGCTTGACAGGTGGAACCTGCTGTGCTCATGCTCTTTTAGCTATGCAGCCCGACTTTCAGAACCAGAAGAGTCAAATTGAGGAAGTTATCTTGGCTACTGGGCATGAAGTCATTTTCTATCCTGCATTTCACTGTGAACTCAATTTTATTGAGTATTTTTGGGGTGCTGCCTAGGTATATACAAGAAACAACTGTGGGTATGACTTTGAGTCTTTGAAAAGACTAGTTCCTACTGTCTTAGCTGGGGTATCGAACAAACTTATCTGGAAGTATTGGGCTTGTACTGAGAGAATTCTGGAGGCATATCGCCAAAAGGTAGTTTATGGTTCTCCTGAGTATGCCAGCATTGTAAATAAGAGATATAAGTCTCATAGACGGGTTAGTAATATATAAATAATCAGTTAGTAGCATTTATCTGCTTTCTTGTCAAGCCAGAGGGTGTATTTTAACATTAAAACAAATAATATCTTTTATAAAAACTAGTTGTGAGTACAAATTGAACATATGACCTTCAAAAAAAAGATTTTGATATTTATAACCCCTTACCCTTACTCAAAACAAGCATTAGAAAATTGCACCCCTCAGGTACACCTTTTAAGTACTTCACACCATACCTTGAGCCTTTATCTCACAACTTAAATTATATATATTCGATAGTCCCTGATCTGTATCATAATATTATCATACCTGAATCAACCCAGACAATAATATTGAATAAAAAAATTTTCTTTCCCTTCCTTTAAAAAGGTAATTTAGGAGAACAAGGAAATTGTACCATGTTTGAAGCATCAGGATAATAGAAAAAGCAGGAAATAAATCACTTCTACTTGTGCAACCCAAATTCATTCACTAACAAAGGAAATAAAGACAAACTATATTCAGATAAGTAGGTGGTAGTTCTATTTCTTAACACAGAATACCGGATTAGAGCAGGTTATAATATATTGTAAGATGGCATAGCTCCTCTCGCTCCCATTCAACCGGAGGGTATTGCGGTTATTACCGCAAATCACTAACCCTTCTACTCAAGTAGTCTGTGTACGATAGAGATTGAGACCAATCACAAATGGTCACTCGAACTCCCACCTACTATTCCGTCACCATGGGCTAGGGACGAAGGTAAAAAAATTTCATAGGAAGGCCTTTCATAGCTGTATTTTAATACACTCTAAAATTTAATGATAGAAAACATGCCTTCTCAATTTTCCTGCTCAGCCCCGATCCCTTCGCTCACCCCTTCCTTTCCCACTAGGTATGATATCATTATTATCATACTGTATTTTATTGATCCTCGCTCAGCACACCAATCTTTCAAAGACCTAAACACTAGAGCTAACGTATACCGCTATCATACGGTACCTCCTCAACATTGGCAATGTGTCCCAGGGGCGCGGGCGGGACGGTCAGCGGGTCGTCTTAGATTTGATCCCTAATGGAGTAGAAGGTCCTAGCGTTGTTGTTCTTGTTCAGGATGACTGCCGGAGTCTTGGAGCAGAGGTTTCTTGGAAAGTCTGCTTGTAGCTGCGTTACTTGTCTATGGAATTTCGCTAGTGTATGGATTAGCTTTCGGGGGGGGGGAGGTATGTTAGTAGGGATTACCTATAACCCCAGAGAACGATTTTCACATCGAGACATTAAGTCACGGCTCCGGATGCCACGCCTTACGTATACCTCGCCCCAGTCCTTGAGCCTCTAGCAAGATATCTGTTATCGTAGCCATTACACGCCAGCACACTATCCCCAAGGCAATTTCTCTCCGGAGACGGAAACTCACATCGGCAAGATAATCGTTAGCTCGCCACATATCCGGCTGCAGCATCAGACTCGATTATTCTCATTCGTATTCTCACAAGCCATTACGATACCATATATAAACAAGAACGACCGCAGTTTCCCAGTAGTCTATGGCATTGCCTTCGTTAGAGATAATGAAATACAAGTCTTGACTCCAGGCTTTATCCTGTCAACCTTAAAACCTGTCCGATACGGCGGATAGCTGTGATGATATACACCGACTAGCATTAACCAGAACTGCTCTGTGGATCCCTTTTTTGTGCTGTGGATCCTGCCGCTCTGGGATTCCGAGAGCTTAGCTATCAATTTCTCTGTTCAGTTGATACGGGTTCCAGCAGAGGCCCCCCAGTCCACGGACAGTAAGAGTATCACACGATCACTAAGGGGAAAACTGGCGATAAACAAGCGGTTTAGGATGTGCCTGTAGTCGGTTCCTGAAAGCATATATCACAAGGTACTCAAATTGGAAGAGAAGAATAGGCAGTCCGTATCTAGTCTGTTACCCCAGGGCCCGGGCATGGGTTGGAATTATTAAGTTGAGATTGGAATGGTATGCGTCACCGCTTCCTTGTTTTTACACCCGTAGCGGTGGGTAGTGCTTTTTATTGGTATATCAGCAGCTCTTTGCGTGCTCCCGGTCACCAGCTTGTGGAAACAATCTTGAGAAACTACCAGTTATCATAATCTTTCTATTCCACCAAGCACATTTAATCTTCTAAAGATACTATTACCTATTACTCGGTTACCCCTACCAACTGATCAAGGCGATCGAAAACTACTCTTCTGTGTAATCTAGTGATAGCAAGTGGGGATTGTGCTGTCTGGTGTTGAGTGTTGTTACTATGTACGGGCAACGACCTGAGTTGTGGGATGTGTTCCGGTGGTATTCAGGGTTTAGATAGTTATGGATATAGGGTTAGATCGTGGTGCGCACGATGGTTACCACTTGTACTTAGCCAGCAGGTAACCGCCTGAGCAATACAACTAAGTTCAATCCTTCTTACAAACACTCCCGCTCCACATCTTCCGTGCAGCCACGCATTCCTCCACTCAACATCTGGTGCCCAGGTGCATTGCGGTAGACAAGATGATCAAGCACCATGATGAGAGGTATAGCAGTCTTGTTGTCAGGATATAGTGAAGCTAGACCCCATAATAGCGTCTAGGAGTCCCTAACCGAAGCTATCATACGAATGACTCTCCAATTACACAAGTCACCTGCCTATGAACGGCGCGATTCCTGACGAGTATGGATTTATGCAGCCAGCCTCCGGAAAAAATTCGACCCCCGGATAGCTTCTCGGATGCCTACACGAGGAAAAGAAAGAAAAAATTCTCTCGAAAACCAGCCCTGCGAGTCTTATAGTAAAGAAAGGCGTTCTGAATTCGGCGCATTTTCTCAGAAGTTGGAACGAGCGAAAGAAGGACTGAAAATCCTCGCAGAGCAGTGTACTCAAAAATCCAGGGCTCACGATGTTTGAATCTCCCATAGCCCCTGCCTCATTCTCCTCCTGGATGTGACAAGCTAGGGATTCGGAAGAAGTAACTACATCTATACCCCTCCTTCAATTGAAAGTCACCCTCTACCACCAATTTCACTGGTGGGGTCTTGTATGATATTGTGGTCTTAAGGATTGACTGCTGAAATCCCGTAGACCCAAGATCCTAGACAAAATTACCTGTAAATGGAGTTATCATACGGCAAGGGGAAGTAGATCCTAAGGACAATCAAGACACAATCGTATCAGAGGTCTCAGTATAGGGTGCTGGTTGTATAGTATCCTGATATGCTATGATAGGATTTATGATACCTGGGGGTGTGGCGCTTGAGTGTTTTTCCCGAAGCTTATTCGTGGCTAAGGCTCACCGCCATTTCTAGCATCACACCAGGCACCGTATCAGTGATGCACAAGTGGATCATTATTCTAGCGTGTCATACTTAATACGAGGGGAGGATTCACACAGCCCAATCATCTGTTTCCATGGCAGTGGTAAGCCGGCGTGCAAATGTAGCTAGGTTGGGGGCTGAACTGCCAGGGATGTGTTTCTCTGGGTCCGGGTAATATTCTATCCGAGCTCTGAAAGTATTTAATAATAATATTATGGTAAATTAAGTGACCCGAGTGATTCTTGATGAACGCTTAAAGGAAGAATAGATTGCTCTCACGAAGCTCCTTCAGTCCAAGTCCCATAAGGGGCATAATTCTAAGGTCTAAATGCGGAACTTTCTGTGATAGTCTATGCCCCAATGCGCGGGGACAAGACTGCTGACTGGTATGGCACGGCGCAACCTCAAACACTGGGGAGGCTGACCAACATACCGGTACCCTAACCCTGAAGGGGCTGAGCCCATGCAACAGACTTGCGCGTCTGCCTTTGCCAGAGTCCTCCCCAACCAACCTCACATCCTCTCCTTCTTCTCCTCCATCTTCCTCTACCTTCTCACTTTAGCTCCAACAAACCTTAAAGAACCTCTACAAACAAAAGAACAAGCCAACAAACAATCATGTCCGTCAACAAGAACCCTACCGACACTAAGGTGGCTGCCGTGGCTTCGGACCCACCTTCATACACTGACGCTACCTCTTCCACTGTGCCCGTCTATGGCGATGGCAACGTCTTCACTGACCAGCCGACGATGTCCTACACTGCAACTTCCCCAGAGCCGTACACCCCTCGCAAGAAAGGGTGGATGACCGGAATTTTCGATTGCTTCGTCGAACCTGCATCCAGTAAGCTACCGAGAAACCTCTCCCCCATTAACACCAGCCTTATTTGCCCGAAACGAGTTAAGCGAAGCTAAAACAAAATTTCTTCTTCTTCAGGTGCCAAGGCCCTCTGCTGTCCTTGCGTTTCGTATGCGCAGACCCGTCATCGTCTCCATGCTCCTAATACCCCTGCGCCAGTTCTCTCGACCCCTTGCCTGGGCTACTGCCTTGTGATGTCTTGTTTCCCTGGTGCCGAGTTCATCTTTGGGTTCATGCAGCGTGGTGATATCCGTAATAGACTTCATATCGATCACTCGTTGCCCAAGGGGACCGTCTCACCGGCCTCCACCTCGGGCGAGCCTGGTAGGACGAGGGTTTTTGAGAGTATGGATAGTGCTGGTGGATGTGTTGATGATTTCTGGAGACACTTTTTTTGTGCTCCTTGCTCGCTTGCGCAGGAGGACCGTGAGGTTAGCCGGTGGGAGAGGGAGGTTGCTGGTGGTGAGGGATGGTGCGATGAGGATGAGGAACTTGGTGGATTTAGAGGCGTTGAAACCACCCGAGGAGAGGAGGGTATCTCTGAGGAAGGTGAAAGACTCTTGGGATGTGAAAGGGGTGAGTTGAGGGGGCTCCGGGGTTAAACGATCACTCATCCTCACTTTTCCTTACACCTTTTTTTCCTTTAACGTCTCTCTAGTTCCATTTCCCTTTGTCTACTCTTCTTTCTCGCTTTCCTTACTGGGTATTACTATTGGACAGGGTGGGTCGGTCGGTCGGTTGGTTGGTTGGTTTGGTAGGATGGGCTGCAGAGCATCAGCGTTTTCAACTCGGATCATTTCCTTACTCTTGTTCCTTTCTCGTTGTTTTTTCTTTTTTTTTCTTCGTTCCCACTCTTTCTACTAGGTTGCTATGTAGTTCTATAGTCATAGGCCAATACAAGTAGGTTGCTGAGCTCCAAACTTGAAGCAGAAAAACCCAGAATATAGCCATATACTCACGATCTAGCCGGGAAGTGAGAAAGTCCTCGTTTTCGTGTCCTGCCCGTCGCACGAGTAGAGTCATAAGTTTGCTTACCCTGAGCTGTACACAACCGGGGCTAAATTGGACCAGGATTACTGGCACGAGGGTGCTTGCTCGCTTGCTTGTTTACCCGTACTCGAGTATGGTGCCCTACTTGTTCGAGCATTGTCGCACAGAACACCTGAGAAGATCGAGGAACAAGTATGATTGGGGCTGCGGTTGCGGCCACGGGAGGAAGCGGGAGTGCACTGCACGATGCGATATGCTTAAGTTAGTTCATGCCAAGTTGGGGGGCGGTGGTGAGCGACCTGGGGTGAGATTCTGATTTGGATGTTGGGCTGAGGGTTGCTTAAATACTGTACTGTACTCGAGTATTCGCTGCGTATGTATATCATTAGGCAGAGTCAGGTGAGCGAGTGCTGTTGGTCGGAGGCGATTTTTCCTTGGCGGATTGCGGCATTGCATAAAACTATCATACCCCCTGTGATAATCCATACCGGTAAACTACAAGGCACCTGCCCCGAGTCCAACTCGTGTGTGGGCCGAGGGTGAGCGATGCAGATAGGAAAACATGCCATACGGGTGATATTTGATGATGGTATAATTTAGGTTCTCCCGCTCAAGTAGAATACCGGCACGATGAGAACAATACTTCGCCGTCGGTGCGAAGACTCCGCACAATACCACACATAACTGCACCGTACGGTATCATACATACCAGCACATAGACTATCATACACCCCAAACTTCCGGGGGCTGCGTTGTATGGTGGGAGGAGTGGGTCCTGGGGGAGGGGTTTCGGGGACTCCAACGTCGATCTCACCTGTAACGTCAGTGTTTGGGAAGAGGAGGGGCTATCCCGATAGAATTGAGGGGGGGGGGCGGTGCAATGGTAGACTAAGGGGAAAGAAGTTGTGGGTTCCGGAACGCGATTGGTCGCTATGATATTCTACTATACTGCAACTGCTATGACTCTTCGAAGACGTATGATAACTGGAGGGGTGGAATTATGATGCGTTGTTGAGCACGGTAGCGTTTTGCTACCGTGTCCCATTTTTAGATCAAAGTGATACCTCTATCATACTCGAGTAGGTAAAAGTTGTCGATTTTACGTATAGGATCATACCTGGAAGTGAATCACTTTTGAATAGTGAATTTTGCTTCGAAATCCTCGGTGTGGAAATTTCCTCCTCCCTCACCCCCCGAAAAAAAATTAAAAAAAAATTATGAGTTTAGCCCAAGAAGGCCGAATCTTAGAATAATGTTCTTGTACTGTACTCGTATGATATGATATTTTATCTGCTTAAGGATCGGGCATTAATCGAGGGATTTTTACAACTTTTTGGTCGTTTCAACTGGTTCACTTTCCCATTCCGATCCACTTCTCTATAATAATATTATTATCATAATATTATTAACGATGATAGCATGGTGACGGCGGCGCCGCAGGGGAATATCATACATCGTGCGGAAAAGGTCCAACTGATCAATCATACTTGTAAAAAAAAATCTGGGATTATGGGAAAGAAGCACATTTTGAGAGAGAGAAAAATGCAAGAAGGAAGGAAATTTTTGCCTTCCTCCCTTCCGGTCCTTTCTATTCGAGACTACTCGTAAGCTAATGAAGAGGAGAGGAGAATAAAAGCCTACTACTGGCTTCAAGGTTCCTACAGCGAGATACCACCACCCCTCCAATTGTTTCAATTGTCAAGGGTATCCCTTTCGCCCTCCGAGCACACAATATTCGTTATCGTAGCTAAGCTAACACCGACCCGCCCACGCCCATTTCCACCGGGACCAAGCATGAGATAGAGCCAAACCGCAATCGGCACCGCAATCGGCCAAAGTTAGAAAAATCGAAAGAAAAAAAAAAACACTATCCCTTCTCGACTTAACTCTCCGACAGCGGAGATAGATAGATACGATACAATTTTGAAACGGCGGGAATATAATGCTATAGTATGTAAAAGCCCAAGCGGGAAGGACGAGGGATCCCCGGAATTCCCATCGAGGTCTCCGTGAATCCGTCGTCGTCAGCTTCCGCCTACGAGTGAGCACTCATGACTCCCTCTCCATCCATCCTTCGGCCCCCGCGCGACGACTACCATAATCCCGGCCGGGAGGGGGTATATATCATACCCGGGGTTCGAGGAGTAACTCGTGATTAGTCTTCGTCTCCACTGGCCCCGCGGAGAGCCCTGCTACTCGTATCAAGATGCCCTACCTGGGGCCGTCGGTCCGTGCTGGTGCTGACCTCGCGTCTCGCCAAGCCGACAAGAAAACCGTTATCATAACGAGAACCCGGATAGAGCACACACCTTGTTTGACCCCGGGGGTGGAAAAGAAAAAGAAAAAAAACCTGAGACGGCCGAGGGGTGCGTTCCTTTCCGCCATGTTCATGTCATGTCATGTCACGCCATTTTTGTTCTCGGTTCACTGGTTCTCACTCTGCACTTTCTCTACATACAGTAGTAAGTTCTGGCTGAAAATTTCCCCTAAAATGGCCGTTCTATCATACTGTATCATACTCGAGTACGGTGAATGAGGGCGAAAATTAAAAAAAGGGTTTTTTATATTATGAGTACACTGGCTCCGTAAAAGTTTTTTAAGTGCTTGGGTCTTACGCTAAGACGTATGTATACAAGGTAAAAAAAATACAACCGAGCTTATGATACCAGGAGAGGCGACTTCAACGTCCTAGCGTGAGGTCTGGTTATTCCACACTCAACTCCACATTCCCACACGTGTACTGTACTAGGTAATTTGTGTATCGCGATAGTGGGATAAAAAATAAAAAATAAAAAACAAATCTGAAGAAAAGGAATAAATTACAATTCAAAAAATGGGGAAAGAAAATCTTCATCTCATCTCTGTCTCTTTCTTTGCTTGGCTAATTTAAATCGAGAGATGCGATGGGTTTACCTGCGGCGGCGGAACCGCTTAGCCTTAGTGACTTCGCGACAGGAGCCGAGGATGCAGTGGTGCTCGCCCTCTACCTTAACCTCAGCGTTGCCGGTGGCAGCTGGGAGATGTTAGATCGGGTTCTGACTGATCTAGGTTATGGGTTACGAGGAGGGGTACTTACCAGCAGCAGTCTTGGAAGTAGCGGTTCCCTTAGCACTGGTGGAAGCAGCGGCCCCACCAGATGGCTTGGGCTTAACTACAACGGTAGCGTTTCCAGCAGCAGCAGTTCCATTTCTTGCATCCTCACCCGCAACGGCACCCCCGGCACCAGCCAATGCAGAGGCTCCGACGGCGATCAAGTTTTCCTGGCCGGGAGAGTTTTGGGTGTACCTCGAGTTGAACTTGACAACAGACTTGATTTCGTTGTACGTCTTGACGTTGAGCGGGAGAGGCTTCTCAGTAACGAGGAAGGTAAGCCCTTCGGCACAGGGAGGGGTGGTCAAGGACCCGGTATACTGGAAGAGAGGGGTTGTCTGGACGTGGTTGATAACTTCGGCGAACTTTAGAGGACCGGTCTCAGTTACTGTGCCGGGGGTGGCAATCTTGGCGAGGTTCTCGGTGACCGCGCTCAAGAGCTCTGTGGTCGCCCCATCTTCGGACAGTTGGAAGGTCAAAGCTATAACCACCAATGCTCCGGATCCGTCTATTTTTTTAAAAAAACAAAAAACAAAAGATGTTAGAATCCATCACATACCAGGATCGAACAAGAAGAAAATTCTTACCTGCAGCTTCGTGAACCATATGTATCTCCAATGGAAAATACTCCTCAGCAACTCTATGCTCACTCGGCGTGTGGAAATGGAATTGCTGCAAGCTGAAGTCCTTTCCGCCGAAAGTTGTTGTACCATTGCAAATGACCTCCACGGTTGTCCCCAGGTTCTCGAACTCCGCCGCCTCCACGTCTTTAATAACCATTTTTGGAGCTTCCTGCGCGAGCTGGATGGTACTATCGATGTTTATGGGTGACTGCACTTTTGAAGTTGCACAAGCAGAGTTCTCCGCAGAGAGTGCTGCCCAGTTGAGAGGGCCCTGAAGCCCCACATACCCAAAGTTCGAGACCTCAACAGTGGCGCCTTCGGCACGAGGGAACAGACTCGTCCCGTACATACAATTCGCCGAGGAGAGGATCGGAGCAGAGAGCGCTGCCGCAACAAAAACCAATTGTTGTGTATACATCTTTGCTGGGGATTGCAGGGCCGGCTGCTGGAATTTGGACAAAAGAGATATGAGGGAGGAAACGAAGAATTGAAAGGAAACAAAAGACAAGTGCCTGCTGTCGACTTGAAGAAACAGGTAACCAAGGCACAGCCGGTTTCGAGAAATGAAATACAAGGAAAGGTGAAAGAGGAAGCAAACGAAGGAAGCCAAAAACCCCACAGAAACCCGCACAGGAAGAAGAATGATGGAGGGAGGACTGAAAAACGCTGGAAAACGTCCAAAGATATCCTCCTCTCCCTCCGGATTCGCCAAGGGATTCGAACATAACGCTTCAGACGTGTGTGTATATTTTTCCAGTTCTTGAAGCAGCCAAGCAACTTGGCAGGAGAGGCTTTCCGTAGGTACATACGCACTCTGGGCGGTGCAATCACTTAGTTGTAGGGTATTGGTGGGCTTGCGACGCAATTGTGTTTTATGCTCGTAATTGGCAGCGTATTACAAGAAGTAATTGCTACTCTCTAGGGCGGCAAACCCACAAAGGTCAACCGCATACCCAGCCTCGGCAGCAAGGTGGGGGCAGGATAGACAAACAGAGCGCTATAGAAGCGACATTCCCCAGCTGGAGCCTGTCCGTCCTTGGCGGAGAAGGAGGGCTACTCCTGAGCAAGGATCCGGCATCCGATCGACAGTGTAACTCCCATCCGCTCCCGCAGATATCGACAGATCTGAGCCTCCCTGTCCCCACTGGCGGTCGGGTACTTGTTACAGTACAAGTACTTGAACGTCCAGGCTCGGGTAGGGTGAGAGTGATTGGTAGTCAAATTTTTGGTTATGTACCAAAAGAAGAAGTATTTAGTAACTACTCGAGTAGGTGCAGTGGCAAGGGGGCAGGGGGTGGGCGCCTGTCACCGTTGATGTTTCGGGACGCCTGGCCAACAGCCATCCTTGGCTTCTGTCTTGGAGACTGGAGACTTCTTGTTTCAATATTCCTGCCCAAAACTTGGTCCAATCCGACCAGTTTTCCCAGGAAGGACGTAAAAAAGGCTCTTTTTCTAGCATTTCGCACTTGTGAAACCCATCCACCCCTTCCTGAACCACCTCAGATAGTTGCAGAACATTATCGAGCTATAGCTTCTATAGCGTAGACAATGCCTGTATTTTCGGATATGCTGTTGGATCCTCGTAGAAACCTTAACGCGTAGCGGGCCTCATGCCCAATACTTGTTGAACTCATGCCCCAATCCGGGAGACGGGAAGCCGAGTGCCCATCAGAGCCTGAAGGAATTTTTCTCTTTTTTTTTTTGATACCCGCATACTCGAGTACTCCCGTGATATTCGACAAAGTGGCCTCGGAGAGTTGTCCATACCCTCTAGATCATTTACTTCATATCCAAAGACTTCCTCAACCCGGGTTTTCCCCCAGCAGAAGTGAGCCTAACCGCCTTAAGGGTGTGTGTGTGGTGTTATCCTCTGTTGTGGAAGTACCAGTTCCCGGTACTGGTACTCTAGGACGGTACCGTAGGATGATGCGGAAATCTTGGCGTTTCCGGGGCCTAAGCCCTGCCATTCGTGGTTAACTACCGGTATCATAATAATATTAATCATAACATGCGAAAAGTTACTGCTATCATAGCACGACAGCCAGCTATTTTTGGATAAACCGTCCCTTGTGTTTGTCCGCATTAATAGACCCGACGCAGGGCAGGGCGTTAGGCGGGTTGTGGAGAGTCATCGTTTATTCAACCTATCCTACCGTGACGGGGTGGGTTTTCGAGACAATGAACTCGAATGTGGCCCCCGCCCGGGAAATAATCGTTATTCGCGAGAATACATTTCAAAATATCATGTACAAGTACACTCTGTAAAAAAAAAAAATTTGGTAAAAATTACGGGAAAATTATCGAAAATATATTTAAGAGGGGGGAGGCTAGATTATTATTATTATTATTTTTCCTCGGTAACAAAAAATCAGGGGGGAGAGGTTGGCATAGCTATGTATGTTATTGCTTTCAAAATAGTGTGCTTGATTTGACTTTCTGTGTAATTTATTGCAAGATTGCTGGTGAACTGACTCGTGGCTTGAAACGTGCCAATGTTCCTCGTCTAACACAACATTGCAACTACAACCATTTATTTAGCCGCCAAACCACTTACAATGACACAGCAGGAATTGTGAGGAGAAAAGAAGAAAAAAAACAAGCTGAGGAACAAAAAGCCTTTAAGGTTTTGAGTTCTCCTTATTCCATGTTATATATCTTTTTCATTTTTTTCTTTCTTGGAGGGGTTTTATTGTACGCCTTGGAGGAGGAGGAGGAGGTCACAGCTTGGAAACTCTGCCATGCTATATCACAGTATCTTACACATAGAACCCCCGTCCCCCGTGACACAATAAGCGATCGATCTTATAGTACGGGTACACTACTTGTACGAGTACAGTACAATACCGGTAAATGGCTTTTTATATGATACTCGGGACTGGAACTCGGCAGCGGTTGTGAGTCCTTAAACTAGAGCCCGAAGAGGAAGGAAGGGGTGGGGCTTTGATCTTGGGGTTGACTTTGCAAAAAAGGGTTTTCGGGTGGCGGGCCGAGCTCAGGGGGAGGGGGGGGCACGCAGTCGTTACAAACCCTTTTTTTGGGCAATAATACTGGCGGAGAGTGAGATCCATTATGGAAGCTAAGTATTTGGTACCGTAGCTGTACTGGCTATTAACGAAGGAAATTAGTTATCCCTGTGGAAGCGACGAACAATCGTACGGGGAATATGGATGTCTATGACTTAGTTTTGGGTCTCTTAAACGCTGCAACTTAACTGGTGAAGAAGAAAAAAAAGGCTTCCAATTTCAGCCCAAAATATCTTGTTGCAAATTGTAGGAGGTTTGTCTTTGCTACCAAGATAGGATGGTACTAGTACTAATAGGGAAGTACGGGAAACAGGGGTTGGCAAATATACTCGGGTAGGGTAAGTTGTGGCAAAAAAATATGCGCTTATCTGAGCGCTCATACAAAATCACCACCCCCGCGCCGAGTGCCTCCTCCCCGTCCTAAAAATATCAGAGCTTTACTCGGGTACCGTACTCGTAGCAGGCAAGAGGTATCCAGGAACAGGGATTTGAAGAGTACTCGAGTATAGTAAAAGGTCCTTGCATAATACAGACTCTCCATTCGTAATATTGAATAAAACGTCTTGCCTGCTTCGAGCGCTTCATTCTGGAGGCACCCCCCCCATTTCCCGCCCCCGAAACAAAGAAGACTAGTCTGTAGTAGGGAATAGATGGAGTTGTCGTTCCTGAGAGGTATTCAATAGATTTATTTATCCTGGTATATGATGGCATGCTATGAGCGGAATGCTGCCGTTTTTTGTAGTTTCGGTGTGCAAATCTTAGAATTCCTACGAAACTCAGCTGATTACTGATTCCTTCCCTTCCTCCCCGGTCATCTATTAGAACCCTGCAAATTCTAGCAATCGTTGTTCTTGTCTTCATATTTCCCGAGCTCTGTATCAGTTGCCTTCTTGACCTTGTTATTGTCGTTTTTTTTGGACCGGTGTTTGCCTCGTATCATACTGCGAGACATGACCGGAGACGAAGGTAAAACGCCTGGCTGATCTTCCCAGTATAATAGGAGATATGATGTGTATGGGGGAAGAACGCTTATTGAATTAGATCGACATAAATCTAAATATCTAGAGAATTCCCGGGGGAATTCTATGCCTTGGAGTTGCTGCTCTTGTCGTTTTGCTAATATCAAGGGTGTATACCACGGTGATATCAGACGCGCTGATTAACCCTTCTCCTACAAGGATAGAGGGATCCATAGCAGTAGCGAGGTAACGCCCTGAGTAATGTTTTCCATATCTCCAGGTCGGTTAATGATCGGAGGGTGCGAGGAATATTGCACGAGGGAAGAGTGGGAGTGAGTAAGTGTAGCGGGTGACCGACTGTGGTGGGTGAAAACAAAAGTTGTTGATGGAATGTCCCACTGTTAACCGTTCTTGATTGTTTCCTCACTAGGAGAACAAAGGATACGGAGTAGGGGGTAGTTGCGTGTGCTTTTTTGGCGACACCTCCCCACGATACTAGGGATCGTCATCGGAAAGTGAGTCCTGATGCCACTAATTCCATAAGATCCAACTTGCCAACACTCAGCGCATCACTGGTATCTGCTGTTAAAGAGCAGAAAGTATGTGCATAGAGAGGTCTGCGAGGCCAGAAATACCGCGCATACTTGACATTGAAATACTGGAGTCGTGACTAGCTACATCATGTGTTATTGGTGTCGACGCAAGACTTGGCTACACTCGGCTTCGCATATATACAGATCAGAACTACTTCCAAGTGGTCCCAAGGAATCAGCAGCATAGACCAATGTCAAGAAAAATCTCGATTGGTCTTGATTGACGCGAAATGGACGTGTCATGTGGGCCATCGAGTGTGAGCAGAAATCCTACGATACTGGATAGGGGAAGGGGGATCGGGGGGGGGCGGGGGTGGGGGAAGTGTGTTCCATTGAAAGATATCCGAGCCAGTGAAAGGGCCTCTTTGTATGCCACCCAGGTAGGACTATCAACGCTGCAGCTAGTGTGACGATTTTCGGGTGCGAGGGGAATATACTTCTTGGGAGTATGAGAATACAGCGGAATACGTTACTGTTTTGTCAGAACCTCGAGCTGTTTATCTTAAACAAAACTCAAATGCTGCACGCGATCTGGAGGGGATCAACAGGATATGGGGGTCTCCATTCAGTCGCTCAATTGCCACCTCACCATTGATCTTATAGGAAAGTATCACATCCAGCGGAGCGTCCTGCTCTGTATCGGAGGCGCTAATTATATTATGGAAACGCAGACGATGCTCTCAACAAAAACAATTGCAAACATTCCATAACAGCTCAATTCAGTTCTGAGGCATTATCTGCATGTGGCGAATGCTTCGCAGGTATGATATCGTGTCCCCGCTCTGATACTCGCTGTTCGGCCTATATGCGATTCGGCGGTGGCAAGCACCCGCCGTAGGCAGGATAGATAGACGGGAAAAGGCTTGGAATGTATCGCATATCTACTTTACAACAAATTACTTGGTGGGATGTTCGATAACCTATCGCGATGAAGCCGCCCATGCCGTCTCTTTAGCGTTTAATCCAAAGCCGCCGGGACCGTCACGTACAATCACTCGCTGCAGGGCGGACCAACCACCTTACCCCCACTCACTCCATAAGCGTCTTCGATAGAGTTCTTAGGCTCCCCATTTTTCCTTTCGTGTGCAATTTGCCTGTTCGCAAACCGCAATTTCGTCGAGTGCAGGCGGCAGACAACATTTAAGTCTGCAGTACAGCCACCGACGAGGCTGGGGCAGTGCAAAACCTGCATAAGAAAAAAAAAATTAGGGTTCTTCGAGTCCGCACTCCAGTTTGAGACCAAGGACTATCTACACCCGTGGAAGCTCTGAATCTGCAGACATAGTGAGGGGCCTTAAGTTATCGATGGGGAGTGAATATTTGCAAACGGGTCGCCAGGTGGAGTGGGTGACTGAGCTACCATACTCTGCAAGGCCGGGTAGTAATGGTAGGCGTGGAGCAGTCATGGTCGGGATATCCCCAACGACCGTTGTTCGAACCTTCTTCGTCGAAAAAACCGCATTTGCAGGATGAACATGTGCTGACGCTTTTGTGCTTTCCAAGTTATATCTTCAGGCTTGAAAGGTAGAATGGAGTTGTTATAAAACCCGCCACAATGTCTCATGCTTCGAGAGTTCAACTTCCCCCCAGAACACAACAACGAAATTACCACACCTTGATTACGGAAAAGATAAAATAACCTTTTACGAAATAACCGCGAAAGATATTGAAAAACGCCCGCAATTCGAAATGAGAGAAATTCAGACCATCCCCAGACGTTTTATCCCATATGCACGTCTCAAAGCATTCCTTGATAGTCTCTTCCCGAACGACTATTCGATTACGGTTAGGGTTCCTGTTCAATTTTTGTGAAAAAAAAGTTGACACAAGCTGGTGCGCGCAAGATCATCGAAGAGCTTTACACTGTCAAGGTCCCCAGAAAGCTCGCGGATGTAAGTTACCACTAGCTCTTTGGGACTAGGTAGCGCAGAGATAACATGAGACTAGAGCGAAATCGACACCCTTCAGGAGGACGAGGAGTAATTGGAACGGAATACTCTAGCCCACTGGGGGTGTTGGGGCTACACGGGGCATCTTTGGCGCATTTGGCAAGAAAGAATATAAGTACGAAATTGGGTTTGGGGGTCAGAGTGGTTGCATCTTGGGTCGCTCTTGGCTATCCTGTCCCTTGAATCTCGGGGGTTTTTTTTTGGGTTATGTCTTTTCTTATGCAACAGGCTTTAGTAGAGGGATGGATTAGGTGTCCTTTTCATTGATGATTTCGGTGGGGTCTTGGTGTTTCCGGCGGAGTGGCTAAGGGAGTCTAAGGGGGGAGTAGGGGAAGAAGGTATTGAGTGGAGCTTGTTTGATGCTAGGTTTTGGAGGACAAATGAATGAAATATTTGGTAAAAATGCCTCTAGATGTGAGCTCTACGCGTGCTTGATGTTATGCAGAACCGTGCCCAAAGGTTCTACTCTTGGAAATGTGAGGACTGAAATATGAATGCAGTGCTTTGATAGATTGCGGTAAAGTAGTGTATGATTTTAGGTATCATACTGAGGGTTCATATTACCTATAGGTGTATGCCCCAATGAGAAGGGGTTTCAGCACTGGAAGATTGATGCATCGGGTATTCCAATGGCCTCTCGCCATAGGAGCTGGGAAACTGAGTTTACAAATAGTACTGTGCTAAGGGACCGGGTGAGGGACTTAATGTGAAATTCGAGCGCCAAGAATTCAGGGTCCAAGTCTATTCTGAACCACTTCGCTGGGCTCGCCTAAGCATTGGAGGGGAAGAAAAACTTCACTTTCTTTGGCAGGTTGAGGCCCCTCATTCTAGGTATCGAGAGAGTGTGTGGTGTTGTTCGCGACAGGGGTCAGTTGTTGGCAGGTGTCGCTTTGGACCTTAACCTAGGGAATCCCGGCTCAACAGTTATCATGACAAGGGTCTCTTGCTTAGTAATATACAGTACTCAAGTACGAGTATACTAAGAGTGGCCGGAAGGCACTCGAGCACTCGACCAATTGCAAATAAGTGAAAACAGCATCATAGTAAAAAGAAGAGAGAAATGGTAAGACAGAGTAGAGTAGGGATTGAAAGATATAAAATGAAGAGCATAGTACGGTTGCCCACCAATGAAATCCAAGCCTGAATCATCGTCCTGTAAGGTACCCTACTGTACCACCCCTCACTGACGACGTGAGAGATTCTTCGTACGATACTTGGCCGGTGGAATATTATTCGGTACTTCATAAAAGCCCTTCTCAAAAAGCTGGGGAAAGCACTCGAGTACGGTGTTTTTCAAATACTGATTTAGCTGGCAATGGCGCAAGAGCGGTCATGGAAAGCGTGGCTTAAAGAGGCAAGTGAAAGTGAACCTTTCCCTGGAAATTAAATAGTGGGGGTTTTGGCAGAAACAAGGCCCTACCGGAGGTTATCGTCAAAGTCTAACTCAAGAGGGCATCTTTGTCGCAAATCTCGCTCGCCTATCGCTCCGCATGTTATTTGACTGTTCTAGGGCCATTTTCAGTTAAACCAAATTACTGGTATGTGGTAGTCTATCTTGAAGGGGAGCCATGAGAGATCGAGGTGCATTAACCCTCATACTGCTATTGACCTCCCGTCGCCCATTTCACCGGCACTTTAATCATGATTCCTCGCCAGTGACATGACTACGACACTTACTCGTCACCCATCGCGAGCAGCGCTGAGAAAGAACATCTTGTCTGCGTCTGGTCTGCGCAGCGAGCTGGAAAAACAAGGCACTTTGGAGAGGTAATTAGGGTTCAATCTTATCTTATCAGTTCAATCTAATTCTATCACCCTATCACACATTCTCATCCATTATCAATCAGTTTCCAAGGATCACGAGTTGTTTTTGTTGGGCTTGGCGGTTCTGCGGCCACTCAACGCGGTGTGAACGTGCTGGGTGACGCGAACTTTTTTTTATCCTTCCTTTCAAACTAACCACCCCTCACACCTCTTATCGCATCCTTACAGACTCGTGCCACCCCACCGCTCTGCGCATTCGGATTCATTTCATTTAACACTTCATCTCTTAACAACGGAAGTACCTCTTGGTGGCAGACTTTGGGAGATGCCTTCGTTGGTGCACAAGCGCTCTACGCAGCACTTTACGGATAACTCCGGGCCTGAAGGTCTACCATCTCGGGAGTCCTTAGTTCCCGGCGGAAATCCAAAGCGTGTTCGTATCATACCTGAGGAAATGTTCTCCGACGATGAATTTGGTGAGGATCAAGATGGCGAGGATAGCGACGTGCTTGTGAAGCCAGATATGGATGGAATCCGTCTTCCGTCGGAGGCTGATTCAGATCTGGAAGAGGAGGAAGCCATGAGTCATGGAGGAGGCGAAATAGAGCGGAATATTCAACCTTTTCAGCCTGGAAGCATTGTTAGAATTAAGGCTGAGAATTTCGTCACCTACACGGCTGTTGAATTCCTTCCGGGCCCAAACTTGAACATGGTTATCGGGCCTAATGGAACGGGCAAGTCGACCATTGTCTGTGCTATTTGTCTTGGATTGGGCTCTAGCCCGGCAGTGAGTTTCTCTCTTTGGCGATTCTAGGAATTTTAGTGATTTATGGTGTATTGGTGATAGAATCTTGGCCGAGCAAAGGAAATTTCGGAGTTCGTCAAACACGGCTGTGATACGGCTGTCATCGAAATCGAATTGCAGGGAAAGGAAAATGAGAGAAACCCAATCATTAAACGGAAGATTGGACGAGAAAACAACACCTCCACATTTACGCTCAATGGTAGGCTACAACTGATGAATGAGGGATCTATTCTTTGAGTGTTGAGGTATGCTCATATGTTGCTGTTAGGTTCGCCTAGTACGCCTGGGAAAATTACGAAGCTTGTAAAATCCTACAACATCCAGATAGACAATCTTTGCCAATTTCTTCCTCAGGACCGTGTTGTTGAGTTCGCTGGCTTAACGGCTATTGATCTATTGACTCATACCCAACGGGCCGCGGCACCCCCAGAGATCCTTGGTCATCACGAAAATCTCAAGAAGCTTGGTAAAAACCGAAAGGAGTTGCTAAATGAGTTAGAAATCGACCGTAATCAGTTGGCATCAATGGAGGCGCGACAGGCTGCTTTACAGCAGGATGTTGAGCGCCTACGGGAGAGACAAGAGATTATTAAAAGGATCGAGCTGCTGGAAAAGGCCAAACCCTTTGTTAAATACCGAGTGGCGAGAAGTCTAGCCAAAGATGCCAAAGATGCAAGCAAGGTTGCTGAACGGGAACTCCGCGAGCTTGAGCAGCAGGTCGAGCCAATGACTGAGGCGCCCAAGGCAAAGCGCAGATATCAGAAGGCCCTTGAGAGGTGCGTGGTGGCAAGGAAGAAGGAACTTGAAGCCAAAGAGGCAGCAGTTACAAAGTTCAAAGATGATGTTATAGGGAAAGCCGATGAGAAGATAACAGACATTACCGATAAAATGGATGCAGCTAGATCGGCGGAACAGACTCGGAAACAGCAGATAGTGCGAGAAAAAGAAAAAATTGCCAAACTTAAGAAGCAATTAGAGGAGGGTCCCCCAGAAGTCGATCTGGCCTATTATAACGGGAAGATTGTAAGGATCCTTGATTCCGTGGCGGCAAGTTTAATTTTGACTAATAGGTTACACAGAGTGATAGCAATCATGAGGTTAGAGACATGAAAGCGAAGATCGATGACATTGACTCAGAGATCAGACCCATGGTTGAGAGGGCGAATCAGATTACCGGTCAAATAAGTCGGAAGAACAAGGAGTAATTCCCCTGTCACGCTCTTGTGTGGCCTTTCTCTAACGGGGGGCAGTCTTCAGGATTTGAATTCGGTTATTGGAGTTCGTGAGAGAATGCTTGAACGCATGAGCAGGGATACCCATCAAGTTTGGCAGTGGATCAAAACCCACCAGGGTGAATTCAGCCAAGAAATACTTGGTCCCCCAGTGTTGACCTGTAATGTTACCGATCCCAGATACGCCGATGTTGTTGAATCGCAGCTCGGCAAAAACGACAAGCTTGCCCTTGTGGCACAGAACAAAACCGATTATCGGAAGTTATTGGATGTGTGTTTTGGTGCTGGTCCTGAGAGTCTAAAGTTGCGCGATGTTACCATCAGGGAAAATTCCAATGTCCCCATTCCGCCTTTGCCGATGGCATCAGAAGAAGCGCGAGGGTTGGGGTTTGACGGTTTTACTATCGACTTTATAGATGGACCAGCGCCCGTTATATCAATGCTGTGTCAGGAATGCCGCATTCACACAACGGTATGTTCATATATGGCTCAGGTTCGAAATCACATACCTAATTTTTCGGAGCATAGCCTATAAGTTTCAGAGAGTTTACTGCTGTCCAAAATAAAAACATGGAGAGTACCAGGATTAATAGATGGATCACTGGGCGAAATATGTACACATTGCGGAGACGTTATGGCCAAGTTATGACAAACGTATCCTCGATTCGCAATGCTCAAGCCTTTGCTGCGCAGCAGGTTGACACACAAGCAGAGCAGGAGATTCGTCGCTCCATTGGAGAGATGGAAAGTGACTTGGAGGATGTCAAGAGAAAAATAGAGGAGCTGAAGGATTCAAGGGCTACATTTGTTACCAAATATAAGGCGGCGCAGGCTGCCAACCAAAAGATCAAGACGGAAAAGGTTGCAAAGCAGCATGAGGCAGCAAAGTATGTCAAGCTTAAGGCGACTCTAGCAAGTGCTGAGGAGGATCTCAAGAGGAAGATGGGAGGCGGGGAAGACTATAAAGGGAGCATGAGAAGATGGAAGTCACAGAAAGAGGAACTTGTGATGGAGAGGGCAGTTGATGCACAAAAATTCGCAGTAGGTTGTGTCCATTGCCTTATTGGTCGCAAAACTAACAATTGTGAAAGAACCTTGCGAAAGGTCTTGTGGCGATCCATAACGAGTTAATCTTGTGCCAGATTAGACTTGCAGAGGCAGGCTCGGATGTCGAGACCTTGCAGAGGAGGATCCAGGATGTATTACGAGACCTTGAAACTAAGAAGACTGAATCTGCTGATCTCGCAAAACATGCAACTGAATGTGCCGCCCGTGCTCGCGCGCTTCAAGGTGCCTGTCGCAAGATTATACAGGGACTCTCTCCCGAAGAATCAGAATTCATGAACCAGATTCCTCCCGAAAAGAACGGCGAAGATATCGAGACAGACATTGAAGCCGAGAGTGCCCGACTCGATTTACTTCACGAAGGAAACCCCAACGCCATTAAACAATATGAAGACCGTGCAACCAGAATTCGGAACCTCGAGGATAAAATTGCTGAGCGAGAAAAGAACTTCCAGAAACATTCTGCTGCTATAGCTGAACTTCGGGGTAAATGGGAGCCTGTAATTGACCGCCTTGTTGCAAAAATTTCTACCGCCTTTTCAAAGTCCTTTGAGAAAATCAACTGCGCTGGCGAGGTCCGTGTGCACAAGGAAGAAGACGAATACGATAAGTGGGCTATACAGATTTTGGTCAAGTTCAGAGCAAATGAGAGTTTGCAGATCCTGAACAATCAGCGTCAGAGTGGTGGCGAGAGAGCTGTCAGCACAGTTTTCTATCTAATGGCGCTGCAGAGTCTTGCGCGTAGTCCTTTTAGAGTTGTTGATGAAATTAACCAAGGGATGGATCCTAGAAACGAGCGACTTGTCCACCATAGGATGGTTAGTATTGCTTGCCAAGAATATACCTCGCAGTAAGTCTTTCCTTGATATATTCTCTAACGCGTGAGATATGCTAAAAAGCGGAATTTTGTAGGTATTTCTTGATCACCCCCAAACTCCTACCTGACCTCTCCTACCACAAGCGGATGAAGGTCCATTGCATCTTCTCTGGCGATTGGCTCCAGGAGGACACAAGGTTGGACCCGGACAAATACCTTAGAATCGGGGCTAGGTTGAAAACAACGGCACATTAAGCGTCTCTTTCTTAGAGTGTCATTTAAACCACTGGGGTGAATGGCTTGTTTCCTTTTCCCATCACTCTTTTTATTTCTATTTACTGGACGGTTGTCTTGCGCATATATTACTTCTTTGTCTGTTCGTGTCTGGAGTACTTACCACCTGGAGTTTCATCTTCCCTGCTTGGTCAGGCGTTGAGTACGACCTCGAAACGGGTTTTAAATCTAGTTGTGCTTGATTTTCGTTTCACTCTTTGGTTCTGGGATGATTTTGTTACGATAATTACAATACAGTAGGCTTAGTCAAAATTACCAATTTCCTGGCATGCAATGTTACTACTTGTCTGACGACGTGACAGTAAAATGTTATCTCTGGGCCATACAATTGTGCAATCTTTCGTTGACCTTGGCTGAAGCTTGGGTAAATTATCATAATTATGATATAGAAATGAAAATCTGTTCCTGGGAATGTCTTGGCTGACGACCTACCGGTAACACACGCTGCGGTCAAACCATCCCGGCAACAGACTCGTTACACTAATTTCCATGCCTGATTGGAAAGAAAAATGAACATGTGAAAGATTGAAACTACTCCACTTTCTGCGTAGACCCTATCATGACCGCCGCGTGTCAATTTTTCTAGTCTTACTCGAGTAGTCTAAATCAAGCTCCAGACTAACTTATTCCTTACTATCTGATCCCCCCACAAGACTGTCCCCCTCCTCCCCCCCGCTTACAACCACCATCCTCTCCTGGCTTCCAGATTAGATATCGTGATATTGGGATGTCACCAACAGCACCAGCTGCGGAAGAAGAACCTCCACCCGCCTCTTCCACAGCTTCCACTAATGTTGTAATGTCAACTCCGCACCCCGCTTCTGGTCCTACCCTGCTGCCAGCACCAGTTGCCTCGCTAGTTTCGCTGATATCGAGATCGACGACTGCGTCTATTCGGCTAGGGTCGATTATCGGCGGGACAATTCTCGACTCGGCACGGCTTGGGACACTTACGGGGTTGGAGATTGGGAGAGCTGCTGCGGAGGGAATTTTGGCTAGAGCAGGGAGGGATGTCCGGGATGATGGATGGGCTGATAGAAGCGTAACTATCCATCCTATCCCATCCGTAGCAAAGCAGGAGAGTCTGAATTATTAGCTCGGGGCAGATAAACTTTGTCAGATCGTCAATATCACTCACGCAGCTTCTACTATCTACCGGCTTCGAAATCGGCTTGACCACACTTACTACTGTTAGTGGCCTTGCGGAAACCTACGTTCTCACCCTTGATTCTATATTCGGAAGCACGGAGAGTTCGCGGGCAATTTCCGCGATCGTAGCATTGATTAAGAAGGAAATTGAGGAGAATGAAGCGGGGGAAGGAAAGGTTGGAGTGAGCGATTTGGTGATTGGATTGTCTTGCTTTGCTATACTGCAGATGAAGACTAAGAAGAGGAGGGAGCTTGAGATTAAGATGGACTTGGAATGGGATGAGGTGGTTGAGGATATTACGGACGTAGCTAGGAGGGGCGAAAACACAGCGGTTGCAGTTTATGGCCAGGCTTCGGGGGACGAGACGGGAGGATCACCGCCTGCTTTGATGTTTCAAAGCTTTCCTGAGTGAGTTACAGAATCACTCTTTTTTCTCGGTCTTTGATATTGATTTTACTAGGTCTGCGGATATATCTGTGACCACCTCTTCAACTACTACGAACACTACGACTATTGAGGTTATTGGTTCTAACCCGCCAGACTTTGCTCCCCCTCCAGGCGCAGTAGTTCTGTCCGAGAGCTCCCAGCACGATGCATCTCGGCCTCACTACCGGATCGTTTATGAGACGACTACGAAGAAGTCGAGTAATAGGCGGATGAAGCGGGAAGAAGGGGCATTTGTCGAGATACCCTCGGAAGAGCGGGGTAGGATTTTGGGTGAGATTGACGCACCTCCACCCCCACCCCCAAAGGAGAAAGGAAAGAGGGAGCGAGTGACGAAAAGGTCGGATGAATCGCAACCCCACGGAAGGTCTGGGTCTGCTGGATTTTTGGATGTCCCAATCGAAGCTAATCAACGGAAAAGGATTACTGCATTGAGTAATTCGTCTGGTGATCCCAAAAGGAATAAGGAAAGGAGTAAGGATAAAGAGGGGCGCCGGAGTTCTAAGAGGCCTGTTGCTCCTCAGGGAAAGGAAAAGAAGAAAAAGAATTTTGTCTCCCAGTCCCTCCTTCCTCTTGGAAAATCGAAGGAGTCCTCTTCGGAGGATGGGGGCTTGTTACTAGGAGCCGATTCACCAGAACTTCGCTTCATTGAGAGTCATGCACGAACGTCTTCAAGAGGCGGGATTTTTCGCCGGGAATCCTCGGTTTCAAAGTCGAGCGGCACTTCAAGTGCTCAACAGCGGGATTCTTTGCTAGGGAGGGCATCCACATCCCCACATCTCGGCCAAGCGGATAATCACATGTCACCAGGCCACTCCCGAAACGGGTCCTACACACCATCGATATACACCATTCATACGTCGCACTCCCAAACCTCACTAACCTTGGAATCTTCTACCCCGCTCGTATTCCCTTCGGGCCATCTAATAGAAAACCTTTCTAAATATATGCGGTTTGCATCAGCGTCATATGGCCAGAAGTTCTTGCGCTTATTTGGTATTGGAGATGCCCCAGCGGCATTCCCCGCTACTGCCAGTCATCACGCGGAGCATCACTCGTTCTCATATCATACGAGTTTACCAGTGGACACTATTCTACTCTCGTCGTTTACGGATCCAGGCGGTGGATATGATATAGATGGTGAGGTGAACACCGGAATTCCACTTGTTCACTTTGTTGCGGTGGATCACGGGGCACAGGCGATTGTGGTGACCTGCAGAGGAACACTTGGACTTGAAGATGTATTAACTGATTTAACCTGTGAGTACGCGGACTTGTGGCTTCGGGGAACCAAATATCGGGCCCACAAAGGAATGTTGAACAGTGCGCTGCTCTTGATTAAAAAGGATTCTCGGCTCTTGAACACTATCAAATCCTCCCTTGAGAAGTTTCCTGGGTACGGTCTTGTATTATGCGGACACTCACTTGGGGGTGGCGTTGCTGCAATTCTCGCAATTCTACTATCTGCCCCTTCGGGATCTTCTCCAGGGCCCTATACCACCACTAACGCATACATACAACTATTACATTCCTCTAGTCTACGGATCCCGGAAGGGCGTCAAATCCACTGCTACGCCTATGGGCCTCCAGCTTGTATTTCGGAGCCATTGCGTCGACGCACCTGCTCATTAATCACCTCTGTCGTCAATGGCAATGACTGTATCCCAACCCTCTCCTTTGGTATAATCAGAGACTTCTGGACCGTCGCCGTGGCATTCAAAACCGATACTCAGGGGACCAAAGCCGAGATTAGAAGCCGCATCCTCCAGGGTCTAACAAGCGGCAATGTCTCTAGCATAATGGGCGATGGAGATGATTGGGCCTGGAGCGTAGTTAAAACCTGCCGAGCGGGTATGTTATCTGAAAAGTTGGCGCCCCCGGGGAAAGTTTATAAAGTTCAGGGGGAGAGGGTCTTCATTAAGGATGAAGGTGGCGGGGGGAATGGTGGTATGAAGAGTAAGTGGAGGGTTAAGGGCTGGAGGGTTAGGGATGTTGAGAGGTGGTTTGGCGAGGTGGGGTTCGGCGGGGGTATGTTTGGAGATCACAATCCTGGGGAGTATGAGCGTGTCTTGGAGTTGTTGGCGAGGGGGTTGTGTGATGATTGATTGGTAGGTTGGACTACTAATAGAGGAGCCTGCGCATGGGAAATTTAGTGGAGTGTATTCTATTCGTGTGGCTTTGGTTGGGAGGGCTAGCATATCTGTTTTATGTATCCTTGGGGCGTACACAGAAATCAGAAATTCTATCTAAAATATGTCACGATGCTATGCAAAGTGTGCTCGGTGTTTGGAGTGACCTTGTCCAGGGCATCTCGTTTAGGATTAACCTCCATCTGCTATCACCGAATAACCATTAATCGTGAAGCATGACATCTCTCCATTGTGTAACTAGTTATATGACATTGCAGTTTCACGATTTTGAATGACGGGGACCCAATTTCGACATTCCATACTTAACCCCCAAATACACATAGAGGTGGATATCCGCATCAAGCTATAGACCTAAACATCACAGCACTCATCACCACCACACATCACATATTAAATTACCCATACACAAGAATTCACACATACCAACACAACACCGAAACGACACCCCCAAGACTCTTAAAAGGGTGCATCCCCCCTCTCACCTTCTCCCTCCCCTCCCCCATGCTCAAGCTAACCTCCTCCCCTTAGCTCCGCTTTCGCGCACAAAAACCACCCCCCTCCAAACCCCACGCTGTAAATCCTGAAAATCACCCCACGTAGGGCGCTCCCGCCCACATCACTGGCAAAGGAAAGGTTCTGCGTGAGCAACTGCGTGACGTGGGAGTATGAGAGATGACGGCGCAAGTGCGCGCTTTTCTGGGGCTTAGAGGTGATGGGGTCGATCGGCTTAGGGTTTCACTGTCGGTGGGGAGGAGGCTGTCATACTGCTAGTTGACATGGCGATTAGAGAAGTGGGTGAGAAGTGGTTTGGTGAGAATGGTCTTGTCTATCATATTGAGCTACCGGTATTATGTGGTACTTGGTGGGGGCTTTGGGGGTATTTAGCGGGGGCTGGGGGGTGGTCGCTAGGTGTGTGGCGAGGGTGGAATTGGTTGTCTTGGTTTTAGGTGTGGTTTTAGTCTAGTGGGGGGTGAGGAGTGAGGGTGAGAGCGGCGGCCTTGAGGGTTGGGTATTGTGGAGCTTGTGAATATGGACTTGTTTACAGGGTCTTGGATATTACGTTCTGTTTGGTGGGGAGTTTGGAGTTGGGTAAAGGAAAGAACATGTGGGCCAATGGATAAATTGGTTAATTTTTTGTATGGAAATCTCTATCGTGCATAGCGTGGGGTGGTCAGGAGCGGGTATGAATTGTTTTTTTTTAAGGCAGTTCGCACATG